CGCAAGTGTTGCTGTTAACTCCTTTGTGGCAATGCACTGGGAGATTTCATCCTTGTCATGGTGATGGCTGACAAGATTTCTCCGATTCCCATTGCTCCAGCTGCCCAAAGATCTCACGGGGGAAACAGAGGCAGAAAATGTTTGCCAATTAAAGTACTACAGGCTCCAAAGAACCAGGCAACTGAGCTCCCACCACTACCACCAAATCTCATTTCTTGGAAGATGAGAGAAGGAAGTGAAGCACATTTGGCCAGAGTGTGGAGAAAGAGAGCTGCTTGGTAGTTTTCCAGCAGCTCAGGTGAGACAGTCTGGCATGTTAGTAAGAATGATGGAATAGAGGGCATGCTTATGAAATTTGCAGATGACACCAAAGGATAGGATCAAAATTCAAAATGACCTTAATAGATTAGAAAGCTGGACCAAAACTAACAAAATAAATTTCAACAGGGAGAAATGTAGGGTACTATACTTAGGCAAGAAAAAAATAAATGAAATGAACAGATATAGGATGAGGGGCACCTGGCTTGACAGTAATACATGTGAAAATGATCTAGGAGTCCTAGTAGACCACAAGTTAAACATGAGTCAACAGTGTGATGCAGCAGCAGAAAAAAAATGTAATTCCAGGCTGCATCAGTAGAAGTATAGTGTCTAGACTGATGGAAATAGTAGTGCCACTCTATTCTGCTTTGGTCAGACCTCATCTGGAATAGTATCCAGTTCTGGGCACCACAGTTCAAGAAAATGTGGACAAGCTGGAGTGTATCCAAAGGGGGGTGACTAAAATGGTGAACAGTCTGGAAACCATGCCCTATGAGAAGATGCTTAGGGAGCTGGGTATGTTTATCCTGGAGAAGAGAAAGTCAAGAGTTGACCTCCAAGCCCCCTCATGTTTAGCAGTTTTAAATAATACTGAAGAGAACTCTGGGCCTCACCTTTAAACTCCTCCGCTAAACACCCACACAAAAATACCTTTGTTAGCTAGTAAGTCTGTTCGTCAAGCTCAAGGCACTAGGGCTAAAGCTATAGAAAGAGCTATTGGCTGCTGTCTCCTCCCACTGGCCAATTCTATGACCTAGTTTCTACTTTCTATATAGGGTTAATTGCTGGCCATCCCCAGTCAGGCCAGTGGCTAAGCAGAAGCCCCATTCTCACAGAACATGTACTTAGGAAGAACATGCAGCCAAAAGCAAAGAACACCCCCCCCCCCAGCAAGCCAAGGGGTTGGACTGGATGGCCCTTGTGGTCTCTTCCAATTCTATGATTCTATGACTCTAAGCCCCTTCAAACATGAAAAAAAGTAAAAGATGACTTCTCAAACACAGCTCCCAGCTCATCTTTGGCTCTCTATTCCGAGATGTGTCAGCCATAAATCAACCACTGAAATGAGAAAGTGTGTAAGTATTCTTTACATGTATGGCCTAAATAACCAGAGGCACCAGATCCCGTCTGATTTTGGAAGCTAACCAGGATCAGGGTGTGAGACCACCAAGTATACTGGGTATAGGGAAGTAAGACCTACTAATATCAGTATTACCTAACTCTTACTAAATACATTTTGAATAGGCATAAGGAGGTGAAATTTCAAATATTCCTATTCAGGAAAGTTTAATATGCAAGACACTGGTTGGATCCTTTCAGAATCTGTGTTGCTCCCTCTTTTTGATCCCAGTTCCATATTTTTGTCATCATCTCACTGAGTGAAAAATCAATAGGGACATTGGTCTCATTCATACCAAGTACTTTAATTTCACTTTAACTGCAATGGATGCATTCTAGGGAATCCTGGGATTTCTTGTTTTGGAAAACAATAGAGCTCCCTAGAAGAGAATACTAGTCCCTAATGAAAACTACCAGTCCCAGGATTCCACAGAATGGATCCATGGCAGTTAAAGTAGAATCAAAGTCTATTCATTTTATTACAGCCATTAGGCCAGTATAAAAACACATATATAA